CTCGTTCCCAGTAATAGTTTGGGTCCTTGAGCCATCTATCTGCTGATTAGGCCTAGAGCGTGGGTCCCCCGCCGCGCCTAGGCCCGCCCGTTTAACCGCGATCCCGCGACGGCTATATCTGTTCCTGAGTCTCGTCCGGCCTGCCTCCCGCTTGGGGTCCTCGGTGGCCTGACGCACTCTCGCGCGTAGTGGTCCTTTCCTCCTCATTTAGAGCATATCTCGCCTGAGCGTCTCGGTACGCCGTTGCGGAGGGGGCATTCCCTACCAACGTGTCCCTTCCCTGTGCACTCGTAGCACCGTCTAACGTTGCCCTCTTCTGCCGGCCCCCCTTTTCTCACTGGTGGGGCTGTTTTCCCGTTCGTAAGTACGCTCCCTTCCATCCCCGCTTCTTCGTCGTCGCTCGCCATAAATTCCTGCTGGCTTTTTATCCTTGCAGCACGCCACGCCTCTAGCGGTTCGGCCCACGCTCTCAAGGCCACTGCTGCTTCGTGCCAGTCGCGGAACTTCCTAGTTCCCTCAGCAGAAATCCTTTCTCCTATCTCGGGAGGTATTAGTGTAAAGAACCATAGCACTAATTCTTCGAGCGGTATGTGTGTCCCCAGTGCTACTATATCGGTAAATCGGGTGATGTACTCAAAGTAGTTTCCCGTCCACGTGTTCTTTTTCAACATTTTTACCATCTCTTTCCTCGTTAGCGAGCAAAACCTATCACATAATCTTTTCCGAACCTCCTTCCAGTCTGACATGTCCACTCCAGACTGCTGTAGGAATTTTACGAAAACTAAGGCCTTGCCAGTCACGTATTTTCCCAGGAGCTCGCCCCACTCTTCTATGGGGACCCCTGAGTTCTTGAATTCCCGCTCTACTAGATTCAGGAAAGATCTCATGTTTGTCCCGTCCTCAGCCGCGATGATATCCTTCTGCCTGATTCTGCCTAGCGTAGCGTTGTTCCAGCCTTCCGATGCGGCCAGAATTCCGTCGCTAGTCTGGCGTTCCGCGAAACGTTGCATAGTACGATTGCCTTCCTTTAGTTCCTTGACTAGTTCTACCATCGTCTCCCTCCAGTCAGGAATGGATTTCCCGTCGTCCAGTTCTTGACTCCCGATCGTAGGATACTCCGTCTTTCTTCTCTTAGCTGACTCCTTGTCACGCCGAGAGCCTGTCTTTTTCGTATCGGAGAGCGTTCCTTCCCTCTCCACTGACGGGCTCCTTGAATTGCTCATCTTTGTTCGTCGATCTCCGAGTATCGCTTATCCCCACGGTAACGGACACACGCGTCCCCTCGTGATTTGGGGTGAGAGCTCCTGTGGGTAGGTGAAATTATTGTTTTTTCTGGTAAGGTTTAGCCCCCTTTTCCGAAGTTTGGGTGAGTTTTTGCCTTACCAGTTTCCCGGAACGGCCCCCAAATGTAGTACACTGCCGTAACACGCACCGCTGACACGGCCTATACCTAGCTACCATATAACACAACGGAGCTGGTCTGCTGCACTATAGTGAAGAAGTAACGTTGTCAATAGTTTTAGTGGGCGTATATTGAAAGGAAAATTGGTTAATTGAGATCCGAAACCTCTGACCGTACCCGATCACCCTCCCTCAAGGGTGGTCGTCAGCCAGACCCTAGAACCGTAAAGGGGGGTCTGCGTACGGGTCGCGGCGTCCTTGCCCTCTTACTGGCCTCTTACTTACGGCTTAGCCTCCGTAGGGAAGGCGGGTTCCTTATCCTATCAAATTGCCTACTATTGACTGTCGCCATTCACACTTTTACATGCAATTAGAGGTTTTTCGTCATTGTTTGCCCACTGACCGACTCTGAGTCATCATTGTAGTGCCAGTGCACTACAGCTGGCGATGCAAGCCAGCCTCACGTGTGAGCACAGGGAAGCGTAGACGAGGTTTTCTTTACTGTATGCTTTACCCATGTAAGCACTTAATAGAGCACGCGTATTTGCTTGCAGGCAACCAATAAACGAATTTCCCTGTGCTAACTGCAGGCAGAGCATGAAACACCATTCTACGGACCACACTGGAGCGCAGCTTAAACGCTACAAAAAAAGGTCACCGAGACAAGTTTTGTCCCTTAACCAGATAACAGAGTGTAGTGGACAATGAAAAATAAGACGCGGTAGAGCAAACCCATTGCTGGCATTACACATCCCTTCTCGGTGCGTTGCGCTGCGCCGGTGTGCATTCCGGTCGACCCAGCGAATGCAGGTCCAGACACAACAGCGTATAACGCTCAGAACTTCACGGTTCAAATCACATTTTCGTACGTGCTGTTCCCAGACACAAGGTGTAGAGTCCTTCTAGTAGAATCTTCTCCCGCAGAAAGGCCTCACACCTGGGTGTCAATGCACGTCAGCCGGGGACCGATCGCCTTGGCGACGACAGTCCTGCACGACGCACCGCAGCAACAAGTGGAGGAATTCAGACGGCAAACAAATGTTACTGGATCGTAAGAACTTCAGGAAAAACTTTCAAATGCTTTGTTTGCCTTGAAAACCCCTCCGTTAGAATAATT